TGGAAGGGGGGGAGCATATTTCCCCCAAAATGTCACCTAAAGCCTTTAACTGTTTTGCCAACTTGAACTGGTTTCAAATAATCTTACTTTCAAACAACTGACTAGATGAACTATCATAACTGCAACTAAATGATGTTGTTCCCAGAATTAGAGGCATCACACGACGACGACAGCAAGGAAGAATCAATGCGCAAAAAATTATCTTAATCGCCTAGGAGCACAACTATCAATGCTCATAGACTTAGTAAAAACTGTCAACAAGAAAACAAACTTAGTAGCACCGTCGTAAAAACTGGTCTGTTTGAAGATCAAATCCCAATTAGAGGTCACAGAAAATGGCAGGCGGTTATAGCCATATCATGATGAAAACGTCCTTCACTGACAAAGCAAAGTTCCGCAAACTTCCTAAACCTCTTCATATCTGTCAAGCTATTGCGTAACGAACATTTTCCACTCTCTGGAGAATGAAAACGTGCCTTCGAACTGCGATGGTGTTTTGTCATATCACCTAAGCACGAAAATCAGACAAAGCGTCTTCATCTCACCGACAATTTATGATAATTAATTTTTTGCAATAAGTCCGACCAATCGTTCTTTGGTTCTTATCGAATAAAATCTTCATCAGTAATAGCACTAAGTACTTGTTTGTTGCAATAAATGCGCTTTTATAACGAAGTATGATTAAGTTTCGCAGCTAGCTGAACAGCCGCGTTTGTAAGACTCTAGAATATTTGAAAAAAAATTGACATTCCCCATAAACTTTTGGTAAACTATGGTCAAGTTGAACATTTGTAGACTTCAGCTTCACAAAATTTAAATCCGTTCCTACTTCCTACGATAACGATGGGGAGAACATTTCCCACTCCAAATATCTCATGATATCTCACAAAGAAATAACTCGATCGGTGTGAAATTCTAACATTGTAGTGTATGCACAGTTGGACACAAAAATAAAATGATAGACTCAAAGCCAAAGCATATTTTCTTATTTGGTATACGTGAAGTGATTTTGTAAAACCCTTCTGGTTATTTAACTGACCAAATGCTACCCAGTTGATAAAGTTTGTTGCGAAATGTTTGCCTCTTCTTGCCTTGTATTCATAATTGAATTTTCTGCTGAACAGACAACACCTCATCATTTTAAATTTAGCAATGCTATATTTGGTCTTTTATGACCTCGTTAAATGAGTTTAATTGGAAAAGGCGAAAATACAAAAATAAAATAGACAGAGAGATATATTTCATGGACTTAAGCCATTCTTATCAATCAAATCTATGCAGCAAATGGCTAGAAAAATGTCTGTTCGTCAGTAACGTGTATCTAAGGCTCGTAACTTTAAGACAGACCTGCTAGCTCAACGAGTGTTTGTAAATATTGACAACCGCAAGTATAAATACACATGATTTCAAATGCAACAGAACTAAATACTTTGCAATCATGTGCTTAGATTTTCTAAAACATAGATCACGATTTAAGAGTGCATTTTCCTTCCCAAACCATCATGCGGTCAATGTGATAAAAGTATGCCACTATCACAGGTATTTTACTAAACATATCCTCGTGCGTCGTACGTCTTTCAATTCGTCAAACACTTAAAATACATAGCGACAATGATATAGTTACTAACCTGATTTTGTGAGAAACATGTGTCGTCGGCAAAAGCATCGAACTGTAAAGAAAGCAGAATTGATCATCAAGTAGACACATGCGAGTTGTAAAACATGTTACGGACACATATATGTAAAAGCTTCGCACAAATTATATCTGATAATTTTAACAACAAGTCAACTCACGACATTATCAAAGGTGAACGTTTTAGCGTTTTCAGACTCAGGATTTTTTACTGTTACTTGACAATCGTTCGCTTTAACAATGACGCCACAATTTTGCGATTCTTCTATCCCGTTCAACGGTCGTACTCTCACAGCAACCCGTATTGATGACATGTTTGTCCAAGTATCATTCAAATAAGTCTATGCAAATTTTGCGTCCCAGGGTAGATTGTAACAAAACGATTAATCACACAAAACTGATATATCTCTATTCCATAACTTTAAAAAGCACGATAAAGTATTTTTCTAAATACTTCGCGTCCAAATGTTATTAGTAATATTGAATGTCACAAGTAATTCAAAATATTTGTAATGTGATATGACAACCGGAAAGGAGTGAGAATTTTACTTTATGCAATCTAACAGAGAAAAGGAATAGATACAATACAAAAGTTAATGAATGGTATGAGCTTTGGTGTGAGCAATGGCATAGACAGAAGCTCTCACAAAAGAAAATTTTTCCTGTTTTTAAAGGCTTCGCTAGGCTCCAATATCTCAATTGCTTAACAACTTTTGGGTAATATTTTGTTCTCTTCAACGTAATGATTTCTAAAGATATCTTACATATGTTTAGTACATTGTCCAACAAGCATTGCATTTGCTCCTCTTCTACTTGCATCATAAATGCAGTTATTGCTACACTGAAAGCACAACTTTGCGTGTTTTAAAATGCTGGCAGAAAAATTTTCATTAGTTCATGCAAGAAATTGATTTTACAGACTAATTCACTAAAATATCAGGTCGAAGCCCTAACAATACGGCTAGGTATACTATGATTAACTTTTTCAAATTTCAGGAAAACTTGAGATAATAACTTAAGTCTACTGATACGAATAAAGTGACTCTAAAGTTTATAAATGATTGTTTCATTTATGTCTCTCAAATATTAATTGAAATTTTCTATATTTATCATTCATTTGTCTCTTAGTTCATCACGTTCCTTAACGGTTTAGATTATCCATTTTTGCACATGATTTTCATTCCTCGTATTGTATGCAGTCAACTGTCAAGGCTACAACAGTAAATAACTCAAGTCTGGATCTCAAACAGTCGTCGGATTCAGTCGTCCAATCAGTAAATTATTTTACGAAAAAACTAAATCAAATAAAATATAATCAAGTTTATATTTGACGAGCAACATGGGAAATGATCATGCAATTTCATGTCTTATCCAGGCTGTTGATTTAGTTCCCCATCTATGTCAAAAGAACATTCTTAAACTTAAGACATTGCAAACTTTTGCTGCATGTGTGGCAAAGATCCAAAAATATGAGCACATAACAACTGAACTAACTGCGTTCAAACATTTACATACAAATTTTAAACAAATTTGCTGCTGCTCATTAGCAAGTATTTACTTGTGCCAAGAGTTCGTCATTCGTTCTCAGAGCAAACTATGTAAAAAAACTTCTAAAGCTCAAAAGTCCTTTTATGTAAAACCTCGCACAATTTGGAAAAGTAAAATTATAAGATAATAAGTAACACATTAGTTGCTAATTACTAGAGTGATATTATAAAGAATTGTAAATTGCAGATGAAAAACCTTTTGAACACCATCAAATAAATTATGTATATATGAGTTCGAGCACAATTCGAGTATGCCAGCAAAAGATCAAGTGTTACCAGTTAAAAACAATTTGTTTGGCAAAATCTAATTTTCGTGGATATCTTTACCAATTATGATAGTATCGTTATAAAGATATTTTCAAAATCATATTGAGCTGATAATAGCTACTTTGATCGTAAGATCCATAACAATCGACTGCTGTCAAGATTTACAGATTTAGTTAAAACTTCTAGCTTTGTTAGTCGTCATTTGAGGTTTTATTTTCATTCACATAACAAGATGAAATTATAAAAAAAATTTCTTTTTGCACTCGAATGTACAGTAAAAAACTAGATTAAAAAACACAATAAAAATTATCAACATACTTCAGCAAGAAAATTGATATTTTCTCTCCTGAGAAATAAATTATTCATCATTAGGAAAAAAATTTTGTTGAAAGTTTTTTTTGTGCTAAAAATCGCATTGGTTTAATTCATTCCGCATTCGATTCTCATTCAGTCGTTTTCGTCCTCGATTGGAAGCTATACAGTGAGCAAAATTACAGAAGCTTACCCTAAATATGCGTAAATTACAGCACCTGGACAGCACCAACAATATGTTCGTTAAGTTTCAATTCAAAAATAAATTTTAAGAAAGAAATAACATTTAAGTTATGTTACAAAAACGATTCCATGAAAAAAATCAAGCATAAAAGACCAAAACAACGCAATAGGTTTGTTAATCCATCACAATCTATTTTAAGATATTGTGTGCATCAGCAAACATTCTTGAAATGGAATCGTTTCAACTGACCATATTTATTGAATTAAAAACAAAAACTAAACTTCGCTTTCAGAGGAGAATAATTAACTTTAAGCTTCTGAAAAAAATCCAACAATAGTAATTTAATGTTTGTATTTCTGTATTGCTATTTCTTCTACCCATCTTTTGCTTTGAAAAAGCTGAAATAAAGTCATCATTCATGATCGAGGAGGGTTGACAAAGTGGATATTTTAATGTAAAAGTAGAAATGATTAATTATATAAATTTAGAGTAATAAACTCCACAAGGTTTGTATTACATCATGACATACATTGATACCAAACCATTTGACATATTCTTTCCTCACACTGCATTGATTAAGTCATGTATTACATGAATTGTGTTGTTCAACAAACAATAGCCAAATTGAAAAGGTGAAAGGAAAACAAAAAGAATGTTAAAAGGTACGAAATTCATGGCATTATTTATATACTCACTGAGTGAAACAAATAAAGCAAATAATTTAATATGATTGTAACTTTTAGTTTAGTACACTCCTTGTGAAGTTGTCACTCACAATTTATATAATTTTATCATGCATGTACAATATAATTCTACAACTGACACATTATCACAACAACAGCCATATTACTAGAAAAAATCCAAATAAAAAAAATAGGCAGAAGCACACCCCCCTCCTGCACCCCAACAATACTTTACTTTTTTTGCAAACTTTCTCCCCAATTCCCTCAAAGAAAGTCAACACCCTACAACTTATTTTGACATCAAATGAAAAACATCGTATAATCATATAAAATTGGATGTAGAATGAAAGTCTACACACACACATATGCACATATTAGATAAACAACTATAGCAAAATATTATATGTTAATTTTTGGCAATGCAGATTAACCTTAATATTGTCACTATAGTATTTTGCTACATTGCATTAGAATACCAATGTTGCCATGAAATGTGTTATTTTTCCAATGGAGCATAATTTAACAACTTTTCAATCAGATCAACATGTGACAGTAACATTCTCCGACAGCAATACCTTTTCAAACCAAGATGATCTAATGCATCACTAAAAATTAAAATTTATCCAGTCAATTTGTCACATACACAACATGAGTTCCACTAATGTTGCTATAAACAACAAAAATAGACATCAGTACACAAGACAAGTATGCAAGAAAATTATATATATTCAAAAAAGATATGTAATTCATTTCTTACCCTTCTGTAAATTCTGCCTGTAGGAGACCAAGATATTTCTCCCACTTATTTCCAATAACTTTCCCACAAGTAAAACACCGAATTGGGATAATCATGGCAGCTGTAATAAATAGGAAAAAATGTGTTTTCAACGAATAAAAGTCGAAAATTTAAGCGGAAGAATATAACTTATAGACAAATTTATACACAACGATAAACGATAAAGTCATAACGCAAATTGGTGAATTGGATAATTTCAATCAGTTATTTAATACCTTGATACGAGTTTCTATAACAAAGATTTGCACGCAGTGATAACTTTTGAACAATATATAAATCAAATTTTTATTGCCTGTAGTCCGAAACTATTTCAGATTTTCAGTAAAAGTGTGTTTACAACATGGTTTACAGTGAGCAGTGAATGCTTTGCTGACGCTGAAGTAAAAGGAAATAAAAAAATATTCTCGCTCCCCCCGTCTGTACTTCAATCACATGTGGTCACAATGCTTCTATTATTCCAATAACGGACCAGACAAAAAGGAATACGTAGAACTGTTTAAGTAGTACATGTTATGGCTAATTATAGGGGTTTTTTACGATATGGTTGTTTTCACATTCACAAAAACTCAGGGATTTACATGTCATGTTATAAGAAGGTAATTTATCTGTAACACATACAATCAGTTAGGTATTTGTGTAAGTATATTTCTTTTCAATGAATACGGTCCAAGTTAAGTGTGTATAAGTGAACTAAAGAAACAGATGTAGAACTTTCACTCTTTTTTATGTTTTTTAAATAAATTTTGTAATTGTGCAAGTTTTCTCAAGTTGTCATGCATTGAATCAGCTCCTTAAGTTGTGCAAAGATTGTACCCTTCAATCATCCTTCTTCACACCCATAAACACATTTCAGTTTTTCTAAAGTAGAGCCGTATGGGAGGGGGGTGTTTATTCATACATACAGTTGTGCCTGATTGATGTCTATAGAAAGTGAATTGCTTAATTCCCAAAGTGAATTGCTTCCAAAAGAAATCATTTTGGCACAACTATATATACAAATAAAGCACCCCCACACCTATTTAACATTCTAGGGATAACCCTATTCAGAATATCTTTTAAAATGCTTTAATGAAAAGAACTTTCTTTTCAAATCTGCATCTATAACATCTGGTCTTGTTGTTTAGAAATAAATGGCCTGCAACAATATAGCCAGTCTAGAAGTTTGATTGTTATTATAAATTTCAGATCAATGGGCAATGTTTATTTTTTAGAAATCTATTGTTTTTGCAGTCAGTGAACACCAAACTGTATACATAACATGACAAAACTTGCTAGCTATACCACTGTTGACATACCACACATAATGTCTTTGAAACTTAAGCTTAATGCACTTTTTTTGTAGGTGCAACGGTCAGTTTCATCAATTGTAAGAGATAAGGTAATGTTTTAAATATAAGCTAAGAAGACTTTATAAATGTTTTAACTTTTAATTTTTCTTACCTGATTTGGGTTAAGTGATCTAATGTATTGTTTCCAGACACAAAAAACAAAATCAATTTTAAAATTATACTTTGTACTTTTTTATAATCTTATATTTTGATGTTTATAAGAAAGCATTTTTAGTCGTTGTCAATTCTTATTTTTCTATTTTCCCTAGCTTTTTGATAAAATTCTGATTGCAAATCGTGGAGAAATTGCTTGTCGGGTAAGTCTAGGGAGTGATGATGAGAAATCTATATTTCATAATAATATGTTTTTATTAACGTCATATTTTGTCATTTAGGTTATAAAATCATGCAAACGACTTGGAATTAAATCTGTTGCAATATTTAGTGAAGCTGATCGTTATGCTGTGAGTGTACTCTGAGTCTACACAAAGTCTTTCGTTTTATATTTTTCATATTCAATTTTTTCATCAATTTCAGCTTCATACAAAAATGGCAGATGAAAGTTATTGTGTTGGGCCTGCTCCCTCAGGTGAAAGTTATCTCAACATGGAAGCAATATTGAATGCCATCAAATCAACTGGGGCCCAGGCTGTATGATAATATTAAAACCAATTTAGATGGCTGATAATGACAGTTTATTGTTTGGATTATAACGCAATGGTTTATTTCAGGTTCACCCAGGATATGGTTTCTTGTCTGAAAATATGCATTTTGTAAAATTATTGGTAAATTATTAAAGATTTCACCCACTTCTTTTCTGAAAAATTGTCTAAATTGGAGATCTAAAAACCTACTTACGATGTTTTAGGAAGACAATGGTATTGTTTTTATTGGTCCAAATTCTTATTCAATTCAAGCTATGGGAGACAAAATAGAAAGTAAAATAGTGGCAAAGAAAGCTGGTGTCAATATAATTCCTGGATTCAATAAAGTTGTAAAGGTAAATTAAAATCCCAAGATTTGGCTTCATAAAACAGGAGATTTTTGACAAAAACTTGAGTGAAGATTGTCTGCAGCAAGAAGGCAGAGAACTTTGTCGTGCTTGGTAATTTTCTTGTTATTTATAATCCAGGTGCAGAGGCCAAACTTAACTTATTCCTCTAAACGAGTTATTTTACTGTCTAATGTCAAAATACTACTGGTAATTTGTAGAAGGAAATAGCTCAGCTAAAAAGTAGATACAAAAGCAGACTTACTCATACATAATGTAAATAAAACAAGTTTTACCCCACACATCAAGAAAATGTCGGAATTGTCAGCATCGTATTATTTATTAGCACTTTTATAAGCTCAAATACTCGCAATTCTGGCGATAATGTCTAAAATTAAATGCAATGTAAAGAAAACTCGAGATTTAAGTTGATGTTTTGTGTCACACAGCGCAAATATCATGTGAGTTGGCAAGTCTTTAAAAGTTTAAGATTGATCGATCAATGTCAAACTGTTCATCTTCGTCACTACTTACCGACTCAAAAACACGTTTGTCTTTTCCTTTTCTGATCGCAGATAATGTAAACTTAATAGATATTTGCGCTTACGTTGATGCTTATTGACACCAGTTTAATCGTACTTCTCTCGTTTCTTGTTGTTCACTGTTAAAGTTGTTCGACATGCGTGTCAATTTTAAGTAGTCCATCAACCTTACGGGGATAAAGGATCAGGGATAGGGACACTAGGGTAATGTAATGGGATGAAAAAGGATAATGATGAACATCAAACCATCTAGAGTTTCACCTGCAAGTTTCTCTTCTGTTATAAATTTAAACCTTCAACACTTTTCTTAAATACTTTTCTTAATACTTATCATTTGCAAATAAAAATTTGTTTGCGTAAATAGTTTAATCAAAAATCGTTTGAGAATCAAAAATAATCGTTTGAAATAACTGACTTAGTGAAGCATCAGTTCGTTCTATCAGTGTGAAGAAGATCTGATCAGAAACTAAGCACAATGATAAGAAGTTTCGTGTTATATATGTTTAATGAAAAGTAACATTGTAAGTGTTGGAGTTGTTTGTTGAACTTAATTTGAAAACAAAACAATCATATTTGTTGAACTAAAAAGTAAATGATAAATATGTAATAAATATTTACATTTTTGGATAATATTTTTCATGTTAGTCGTACGGTTTTTACAACATTATATATTACCCTTTTTTTAAAGAATGATGAAGAAGCTATAAAACTTGCTAAAGAAATAGGTACATTTCTGTATAATCTTTCTTTGTTATCCTTAATTTTGTGTCATGCCAATAAGCGATAATTTCAACATATATAACCAGGTTATCCAGTCATGATAAAGGCTTCTGCTGGTGGTGGTGGAAAGGGTATGAGAATTGCCTGGAACGACCATGAAGTCAGGTAAGCTACGCCAACATGCTTAGTTGCTTTAGAAACATACCTAAATAGAAATTCTTTTTTCGAAGAGATGGGTTTCGTTTGTCTTCACAAGAAGCCAAGTCAAGTTTTGGTGATGATCGTTTACTGATAGAGAAGTTTATTGACAATCCAAGACATATTGAATTTCAGGTACTGCTAGCTGTTTCAACCCTGGAGTTTACCAATCTTTACGATTTTCTTATGTAAACTAGTGAAAATTAAAAGTTTCGCGTTGTGAAATCTTTGAAAAATGGTCGTTTCTCTTAGAAAGCTGCGAGTTTTCATAGAAGGTTGTCTTTCACTCATTTTTTGTTTCATTTTAGGTTGTTGGGGATAAACATGGAAATTGTGTAAGTTGTAATGTTTGTGTAAATTAAAATTTACTGCCAAACGACTGACAAGCACGTAATACGCTGTAGTTGTTTTCAAATTTTAGATTCACCTTAATGAACGAGAATGCTCCATTCAGCGTAGGAATCAAAAGGTTGTTGAAGAAGCTCCAAGGTATAACCAAACTGCTGATTGAAAGATAAACCCCAACAGAGAATCAAATAAAATGCATATATAACTGCTAAAATGATAGCATAGAAGTCCTTATCGTATACATATATCTACATGTAGATGATATTTACAGTTTATTAATATGTTTTTTATCCATACCGTTTGTTTCAGTGTTTTTATTGATCCAGATTTGAGAAAAGCCATGGGTGACCAAGCGATTGCTTTAGCAAAAGCAGTCAATTACGACTCTGCTGGAACAGTTGAATGTCTTGTTGATTCGGAAAAAAACTTTTACTTTCTTGAAATGAATACACGACTACAAGTTGAACATCCCGTTACAGAATACATTACAGGAGTTGATCTTGTTGAGGAAATGATACGAGTTGCAGCAGGTTAATGTGCATGAAAAATAGTGTGTCTAGATTTTTACTATGTCTTCTCTACATGTCTTTATTACTGTAAACTATAAAGTTTTTTCCAGGTCATCAACTCCAATATAAACAAACTGACATTGGAATAAAAGGTTGGGCCGTAGAAAGTCGTGTGTATGCTGAGGTAAATGGAAATGTTTCTCACTTACGATAGTTTATGAATCGTACTTTTGAAGCTTTTTGTATCAAATGGATTCTCTTTTTGACAGGATCCATTTAAAAATTTTGGTTTGCCATCAATAGGGAGATTAAGTAGATATAAAGAACCAACGCACATTCCAAATGTAAGTTTACGTATGCATTGGCTACTGCATTCTTGGATACATGGAAATCATGAAGAACTCTTTTTAAGGTTCGAATAGACAGTGGTATCATAGAAGGAAGTGAAATAAGTATTTATTATGATTCGCTCATTTCCAAGGTAACTCCAGCTAATTTGCTCCCAAATCATTCAATCATTCACATGTGGTAAGGTGGAAACAGCTATACGTATGTTCCTTTGCTAGATGACATTTTCTCCGCACAAAAAAATTATATAAAAATTGTGTAAACAATTATACAATTTTTTCGTCTAGTAACCGCAGGTTTGAACAAATAGTGGAACAAATTAGTTAATTTATTTATATTTGTACTTCATTTAATGATACAGTTGACAACCTACGGCGAAACACGAGAGAAAGCTTTGAAAACTATGACTGAAGCTCTTGATACTTATGAAATACGAGGTATTGACAACATACGTATAACAATGTCTCATTTGCTGTTCACAATTTGTATCAAACTGAGATTTTCGCAGAATTGTTAATTTTTCTAATGCTTGTTGTTAATTTATATTTAAGGTTTAATCAGCAACATTTCGTTATTGAGAGATGTCGTCACCCATCCTAATTTTATTTCTGGCGATATTTCAACAAAGTTTTTCGAAAAGCATTATCCTGATGGTTTTAAGGGTAGGAGATTATGATGCTCGTACAATTGTTGTTCAAGGTTTTTCCACGATTTTTTAAATGCTGAGAGTCAACGGACATTGTGCGAATCAATGATATTGACAAATACATAAAAATACCTTATCTGTGTATTTTGATACAAATCTCAACTATTTTCAGCAGAAATTTACAAAATATGGGCATAGTTTTCTTGTAATGATTTTATACAGCTCTATAAGTTTACAATGATACAAATGTACGAACAGATAATCAATTCAAACATTACTTTTGAAAATAATTTAAATAATCGTTTCGTTTGCGACTTGAAATGCAGAAAGTACAACAGGTATTTTCAGAGTTTAAAGCATCCAAAAAGTGTCTTTTCAAAATCGAAAATTTAGTTGCTTTTTCCTAAAACTGACTTGCATTTAAAAACTTTAATATTTCAGTACTTGCAGTGTATGTTTTGGGTAAAAAGTACATTCAGGGATGTCGCTTGTAGAACGTTAACTTTTTGGGTTTTTATATATTCATGCAGTTCTGCCCGACTGGGGGCACAAAGAAACATATGAATACCGCCAAAAAGCATTTATAAATTCTAGCAACACCGCTGAGTACATCTGTTCCAAGGCTCAACCACATATGATGAACAATACGTTCGACATAAGAAAAGGTATGTTTTACTTTTTTCAGGAAAACAGCTGAACAGAGATGAAGTGAACGAATTGACAGCCACAGCTTGTTATTTGTTCATACTTCGTGAAAATAGACAGAAACACTTTTTAAATCATACAAGGTATCCATTACAGTTTATATGAAGAACAACGTAAAATTTTTAAAATAATTTAAACCAATTTTCATGTTTTATCGTGTATTTTATGTTTCAAAAGTTTTTTCGACCATTCTGACATATCCTACAACTTTCCATTTATCAGGAATAATTTTGGGTTTACAGACAAAAGCAGGTGGACGCTTTTTGTGCTGGTAAATGATGAGAAATACAAAGTGAACGTTGATCGAAATTTTGATAGCTATCTGGTACGTTTTCTTCCAATGTGCATTTCATGATTTATGTCACGAATGAATTGCTTATTTGTGCACTTTTTTGGGAAAATTTTTCGTCTTATGTATGTTTTTGTTCTTTAAATGTCAGATGAATATCGACGGAACTTGTGTGAAATTCCATTCCTCGTCTAACCTTGCATCAAATCTTGTAGAAGCAACAATAAATGAGAAAAAGGTCTTTGTACAGGTAATTTGTTGTCGCATTAATTTGCAGGTAAATTTATCGTTTACATCTAATGAAATAATTTTTAGAGTTTGTCAAGAAATGGTCAAAATATCAAACTTCAACATTATGGATCAAAGGTATGAATGACTTTCAAAATTAAGGTATTACGTTGAATAAAAACTGTCAATTTAATTCATGGTATTTTTTAACGCGAGTCTTGCTAAGCGAAAGTTCTAATTATTATTTTCAAACCTTTTATCACTCATTGTAAGTTTGATGTCATCGTGATGAATGAAACTCAGAATGATTACTCACGAAATATGAAAGAAAAACCAAAGGTATTGATTTTTATGGTTTACATAGCTAATTATACCTTCAATTTTATACATTTTCCCTTTAATTGAATAAAACTAAAGATAATAGTATCAATTACCCGAGTACTTAAAAGTAAAATATTCTTTTTCTAATTTTTTTGTAAATTTTCATTTTCAGGAGGATTTGACGCCATTTTTGGATTCACCAATGCCAGGCACAGTGATCTCAGTTACATGTGAACCAGGACAAGAGGTAGTTTTAAATATTGAAATCAACTGTAGTGCAATTACTTGGTGAAGATACTCTAAAAACTTCACTTTTTCAGGTAGCTGAAGGTCAAGAGGTTTGTGTTGTTGAAGCTATGAAAATGCAAAATAGTTTATGCGTTCAGAAATCTGGCCGGATTAAAAAAGTGAACTGTAAACCAGGAGATAAAATATTGGAAGGTGATCGACTTATTGAGCTCGAGTAACACTGACTTTTAAAGAAACTTTGCTAAACTGGAGTGATCCATAAACACAAGAAAAAACAACACTTTCCTTTTCAGACAATATTTGAAGTGAAGAAATTTAAGCAACAATAATTTTCTTTTATCATGTGAATAATTAAAAATGCATTGTTTCAAATATTATAGTTCAACAATGAAGGAAAATATGATATGACTAACCGATGCAGCACAATACTGTACTTACGTACGATAATTATGTACGCGTATAAATGATTATGATTGTTGTAATGTTTATTTGTTTGTGTGAATTGTGAATATTTAGTTTCAAATGCTAAAATTAAACAGTGCATGATTGTGAATGAATATTAATTCATGTATAAATCATAAACTATACATCGCCAATGTTTTCAATAATAGGATAGTTTCCTTCTTCATCCCTTTTCAACCCCAATCTCACTTCATCCTTTTTGATGCTAACCCAAGGCATGAGGTCATTTTTAAATGCCTTTCCAATATTTCCATGTCTGTCGATGGCAATTCCTCCAGCGAGTCCATTTTGTCTTTGTTGAACTAAGTTCACAGCACTCTGTACAGCTTCCTTTAGTGAATAAATAATTAAACAAAGTTTAAAAAAAAGAAGATTTGAAAATTGGTTGAATCTGGATTGTTGAAAATGTAATATTATGAATTGAGAAAGATATTGCTCAAGACTTAAATAATTTCTTTTGCATGTTAAAACAGATGGATTGTCGGAGAGAAAAAATAAGTTTTTAATTTAGAGTTTGGAGTGAGATTGGTTACAATGTAATCTAAACTAAATGGTCCGTGTCGAACATTTTGTAGGCAAATTAGCTATGACAAACTAAAGCCTGTTTAGAGGTTAAAAAGATCACTGAGCTTTGAAATTTAATGAGGCTTTGCAGGGTAAAGTAACTGTATTTTTGTGAAAAAACAATAGCAATTGTGTATTCAAAAGAAAACTGGCGAAATCATATAATCAAATCATTTGCACTTCTCAATTAATAGAAATGGAATGGACTTGTACAGTTCAGAGAGAAAATCACACACTTTTTCTCTACATCACTAGTCTCATGGGACTTAGCAAAAAGCGAAGATAAATCGTATATAAACGAGTCAATAATGCGTACAATACTACACAAGAAAACGTAGAAAACTAAAATGATTGATATTTTGCATTACCTGGGCACTATTTTCATTTTCTATTTCAATTACAACTTGTCTTGTAAAGTTCAATTTTATCAATTTCTCTCCAAGACCATTTACTGCAGCTGCTCCTTTTTCATTTGCATATCCTCCACAACCAACTAATGCAGTGTCACCAATACGACCTTTAAGTTTGCCGGCAATACCTCCTAAAATAATGATTAATTATAAATATGATAACATGTAGGTGATGTAGAACTGAATTCATGTATGATTTCTCATTATATAAATATGACCTGTATATTTAGTCATTACCTGTTGACGTTGCACATGCCAACTTGCCATCTCTATCAATCGCAACAGCACATGCACAATCGCAAGTGTCAGTTTTTTCAGGTATAATTTCAGGCGCATCAGCAGGAAAAGCTCCTCCCTCCATAAAATATCTCGAATAATCATTGAAATATTTATGTGGAAGACGTCTCTGTTCATTTAACAATTCATTCGGTTCACACCAATCCAATCCATTATCCTTAGCAAATTTCAGAGCACCATCACCACTAAGAGCACAATGTGGTGTTTTGTCCATTACTTTTCGAGCAAGAAAAACTGGATTTTTGAAATTTCGACCAGAAATTACAGCACCTACAGTAAACAGAAAAGAATTTAAAAGCTTTTTACACTGATTACTCACAATTTTAAGAGTACCAAGTTTATTTATATTTGTTCTCGAGTGATATTATGAGATTTGCCTAGTACAAAATGTAAACAGCATGTATTTTTTTTGCCAATTTCTAATGAAGACGTGCCGGGAAATACATTCTGGTTTTATTTGTTATCAAAAAATTCAAAGTTAAAGTATCACAAATGGATTTTAACCTGTTTTTAAATTGTGCCCATCCATAATCATTGCATCACATTCAACTTCTCCTTCACTGTTCAATGGAGATCCACGACCTATCATAAATAAGTCACTGCTCTCTAAAATACTAACTGCTTTCTCAACAGCATCAACAGCAGTGCCACCATTCTGAGGTGATAAAAATAATCATAATGTTAAATGCAGTTAATATAAATTATGACAAAATTTTTCAAACGAGTTACTTACCGTTAAGACCGCATATCCCTCTCTGGCTGATTCTTTCAGTTTTTCAAGGTATTCATTACTGATATGTTCTCTAATATAGTTGCTATAGACTCCTCCCATAACAATAATTGCGTGGGCTCCATCGAAATCTTAAAAAATTACCCATTATTAAATTTGATGCGTCACTTCAAAGCTGAGCGATTTATAAAATTCTATGGATGATGTTGTTTGCTGATGACATAGATAAATATGCAAAAAGTAAATTTTGTCCTGATTCATGCATATCCTATAGTAAAGTTTTTCCTTTTTGTCTTAGTTTAGGAGAAATAAAAGTTGAAATGTCCCGTGCGCACTTTTTTCTTTCCACATTTGAGAAAATTGATAATTGATACTAAGACAACTTATCAAAATCTTACTCTGTATTTGGGTTGACTAAAATTGTTTTATGTTATGTGATTATTTCTTGATGAGAGCAGCAAAAAATAATCCCTCACTCACAAACACCTCTAGTGGAGCATTCTTTGAAGAATCATGAAAAGTATCTTGATGTACATAACTGCATTTCACACTTAGACATTTTAGAATTCAAAATGATAACTGTGTGTTAAGTTTTCTCCAGAGAACTAATTTCGCATATTTCAAATAATTTTGATATTTTCTTATACTAAATGTGTTTCACTGTTTGTAAAAATTCTTTCGATTTATAAACTCCTTAATATTTTTGGCTATCTAAGTATCATTAAATATAGGTAGCTTACATGCGTAGAATTTTTATATTGCAATAGATTATTGGCAGCTAACTATAACAGGAGAGGTTCTAAACATTTTTTTCAAACACCCGCAAGGCCGTCATGTAATTTTTCAGCACTGTTTATTTAGTGAAATAATTTTTGGCACAGATTAATCAGAGAGTCAAGCTTCTTTTGTATTTGCAATCGACATGCACTTGTACCTTCACAAGTGCAGTATTAGAGTTAAATTGCTTTATCAATTGATGAGAACTAAAGAATACACATTAGAATTTGTAAGTCTTGCAAACTTTACACGCCATATTATACCGAGACATTATATTTTCATTGTATTTTTATAGTCGTGCAACATCGTTCTAAAAAAAGTAAAGCATTCACATACTTAAAAAACTGTATATTCTGAAATCTAATATATTTATTGCTCACATCTGTCCTTTAAATAGTTCAAGATTATAATCAATACCTTAATGACAATAAGGTTGTTTGTACTTACCCATTATGTTAAAAATATTGAACAAACGTTTTTCTTGTTTTTTTTTGCTCGTGCTTTCTTTAGAAAAGTTCAGAGACAAGACCAACTATGTATAGAGAAAAGATTGTACGCAGAAATTATATTACTTTACAAATTTACTCCAAAACGGTCTTTGAAAAAGAAAATTTATACTTTTTCTTATAGCTTTATAATTAAATAAATAAAATAATATATGACAATTTTCTTAAATTTCAAGTATCTATCATCTTATAATTACGCATTCAGAGACGTGTAATCACGATTGACGAGATTTTAAATTTTAGGGCCTGTTCATATGAGCCGGTCTAGCCCGGTAGTAGCGAGTAGAAACTGAAAATCTTTAACAAAAATGTGTCTTCTTTAGAAATTGGAGTATTTTGCATTTTAAACATCCCTTAATTGATATAAATACGCGTTTGAAATCTGTTAGAATTAATCAGAGTATTTGAAAAATCAATTTGACTCCATGATCAACACTACGTATCTTAGAGACAAAGATAATATATATTTAACAATCTGTAACGGCGTCCAATGTCCAAAATTAGTTTTTATAAAACGATTCTTGCGTTCATTTGCCATTCACATTAATTACTGATTTGCTACGCATGCGCAGACATGTCATGTGACACAGTTATCGATAGGTCTCGCCCTCTCGTTTACTTTAAAAAATTTCTGACAACATCAAAGGTCAACATTCACAAACAGAGAACAAAATTACAAATATTTTACGATAGACTATTCGAGAGACAAAAAAATTCAGCACCCCTTCGTTCCACAGTGTTCTACCCTGAGGCTAATTAAAGTTTTTAAGATCAAACTACCGAAATTCTTCCAGTAGACGGACTGCAATGATTCTGACTACAGTAATCACTGACCAAGATAAAATTTTGCCAAACAAGAGTGTAATTTCTGGAATGAAGCGATTATATCAGTTTCTTATTTTGATATAGTATAACCGAAATCAATTGGCAAAGGAGAATCGACGCTGCTCTTCGAAACTCTTGCTTAAAAGACTTTCGAAAGTTTTCTTCAGCAGATATTTTAATAACAAATCATAGTCAAGTCAACAGTTATACTATATTTTAATTTTACAATAATTAATGTGTTGTATAATCAGTGGCGTAGCTAGGAAAAATAGTCACTCCCGCCAATCTATCTCGCGCCGAAGGCGCGACCCCACTAGGGGGGTCCGGGGGCATGCTCCCCGGAAAATTTTGAAATCCAGAGCCTTGGAAACAGCATTTCCTGCGATTTCGAGGGCGAATTATTTGTTGTACAATAATTTATAAAAAACCATTTTTGTTAGCTGCATTCTTAATGTGGCAATCGTTGAAACTGCAACTAGTTAAAAGGTACTAAAGGTGGCTCAGAGAAACGTTACGCAGGAGACAATTGTCCCTAAAACATAATTTACTCATCACTGCCCCTGCATAAACAGAAGAAATTTGTATTAGCACAAAAATAATATAGTATACGACACTTCTAAAGTGCATAGAGAGAGATTTTTCTTAGCATTCTACTTGTTAGTTTAAACTTGTTTAGATTGGGGCAAGTAGACAGGGATGGCTTTATTCTTTAAAGTTATGCTTAATTTTCTCAATGAAGTACCATGTATTATACGAACAAATATCAAAACACATACTATACTCATCATTTATAAAGAAAGGCCAGCCTCCTGGGTTTTTCTACAAATTTTCAACCACCTCGTTATGCAACACCTCTGATTCCTCTTTCTTTTCAATGATATCTTTGTGAATAGATATTCTACACAAAGAGCTAAGCCGACCTTGACCCATTCTATTTCTTAAATAGCTTTTACCCTTTTAAGCAAGAAAACGACCTCTCTACTGAAGCACTTGCCACTGCCAACACACCATTCAATTTTAACAAATTTACCACTTGACCTAAACTCGACTGGAGATTAAATTTGAAGATGTATTTAAGAACCTCATTACTGCACTCTTTGTGAAAGTCCTTGTCGTTGTAAATGAAGGAAAGTTGACTCTCCAAAGTTTGGATGTCAAAAGAGGACTATACTTATCTTTGAGAAGATTGATCTTCTCCTGTGGAACTATGCCCTTCCATGTAGTAAATAGTTTAGGATTTACAAGGTCTAAAACTCGAACTGATTAATATCTTGAAATCGTTCACTTAACATGCCTTTAATGGAATCAATAATCTCAAAATAAAGCTGTTTGTAATTGTATCTACTATCTGCTCTGGTTGCTGGTGGGCCTACTTTTTCTAGTGCAGTTTGGTAAAACTCGGTGAAAGCTTGATCTGTGCGAAGTGACACAATAAACTGCTTGAAATTGTCAATCTTGCTTATGCCATAGTTAAAATGGGTTTCCCTATTTTGAAGAATGGAATACAAAATTGTGGACTGTTCTAAAATCCTGTAAAAAACACACACTAGAAAACAAAGAGAAAGCTATCAAGATAATGCAGTAAGCCACTTATTTTACTTAATGACTCATCATCCCACCCAGCTGGTTGTTCAAGTACCCCTCAAAAATATCTAAAAGTTTTCATAGTTTTGTGCAATACATTGATTAATCTAGAGCGATAATACCATCTTGTTTCACCAGGGCAGGAAACTCAAGGTTGTTAGATGTGAGAAAAGCTTTTCTTTTGGGGCATTGCTTGTAAATGTGCTGAATGTAGCTATATTAATAAAAAGATTTTAACAGGAGAAATTGATGAGGCTGACTGGCATAGGACCAGGTTCAATCTATGAGCTGCACAATGAACAAAATGAGCAAAAGGATACTCTTGTCGAACCAATGCTTGAACACCATTGATATGGCCAGACATGACAGAAGCACCATCATATGTTTGTAAAACCAGTTTTCTTTTATATTAGAATACTCACCAAGTTTATCTTTGACAACTTGTGATATTGCTGTGGCATTTCTGTTCATACTTACATCCACAAATCCTAATTGCCTCTCCATAATTTCACTTGCTTTGTCAAACCGAGCAATAACACTTAGCTGCTCTTTGGTGGAGACATCAGATGCTTCATCAACCTGAATACTCATAAATGTGCAATCATTTATTTCCTTTCTGATTTCATCTTCAATAATTGAATCAAGACAGCTGATAAGACCATTTTGAATTTCTGGGAGACTCCAGTAAATCTTCTGTCACCAACTATATCAGATTCTGCTAGTCTACTGTGCAGTCGACGCTCAAATACAGAATCAAACTTAGCAAAACATTCGAGCAACTCTCTATAATTACCTTTGTTCAAGCTACCTTCGGACTCATTGTGACCTCTAAATGGCAACTCTTGCTTTGACAAATACAGCACGGCCTCAGTAACAGTTTTAAAATTTCTCGATTTTGTCTTACCTCCTCATTGTGACGCTGAATCTCATTTCTTCTAGCGAGGGACATAAGACAATCAATTCGTTCACTAGCTCCATACGTTTTCCATGTCTTAAATGCAGTCAAATGCGATTTAGATTTTCATGCTTCTTAGCATCAGACATAATACTCCGCATATCGTTGTAGCCATTCTTAGTCCACGATGGCGATGTTTTGGGAAAACATTAGACATGGCCAACAAAACACTTTCTGCAAGGTTGTACTGCCACACAGCCAGTCCTTCGCCTCATACCAATCTCTCTGAAATGCTCTTCCCTTATTTTGGATAGTTAAATCAGGAGTAGGCCGTTCATGAACGATAACATTCTGTTCGACCGACGATCGAGCAGAGAACGGTTTAGCTAATAAGCTATTTACTAAATCAACATCAGTTGAGCAAATCGCAGTCGCACTTGAAGCCATTGTGTCATACACAAATACAAAATAGCAATTTGAGAGTAAACACAATGGAAAATTAATACCGACAATGACACGTAATTTGATAATCACTAATCGCTGTACTCGTATTAAAAGGTCGAATAATTACAACCTCCGCCAATTTAAAATAGCGGGAGTTCGACTATAAAACAGCAGATTTGAGCATGCGTCAAGTCCCTTAGCCAACCAGAATTCAAAACTTCTTATATAGAATTATATTGTATGTTCCGCCCTCTGAAGATGGGCGGAATACGTGGAGAATCGCGCGAGTATGCAATGTGCGAGAAAAGGCGGTTGCTAGGTTACATAACAAATCTTGAGATTTTGCTGTATTACGATTACGAACCACCTAATAAAAGCGTAAATATGAACGAATAAAACATAATATTACAAATTGTTCGTGAAATAATGTATATCTTATGTCCAAATAGAATATTTATTATTTTTTTGGGAAATTTCTACTCCCGCCGGGCGGGAGTAGCGGGACCGCTAGCTACGCCACTGCTGATGACGCAGGATAAAATTTTGCATGACAAGAATGGAATTCTAGGAATGGAACAGTAATATGCAACTTTTTAATTCTCAAATAATGTCATAAATTAGTTAGATGTTCAGTTGCAGAAAAAGTTGATGTCAATCCTGGAAATTTAGAAGCCTCTTTAGCAGATATTTCATTTTGTCAAATTAAGCAAGTCAATAATTAATATATTTCATCTTTATAATCACTGATGTGTGGCATACAACGGAAAATGTGATAACCTTATTACATAAACTTGTTCAACTTGCAGATGAATTGTTTTCGTTCAATACATGTAGATATGTATATCAAGTCAACAGTTATACTATATTTTTATTTTACAATAATTAATGTGTTGTATAATGGTTTAGGAGCCTGTGATAAACGTTAGTATATAATATAAACTTGTTTGAAGTGTGTAATTGGTTGGTTTCCTGATTGTACGACTGTACGTACCTTTCTTGATTTCCGTATTGTACTGACTGAAAGGAACTGTACGTTTCTTTCTTGTTTGAACGAGATGGAAAAGGAGCTTCTGTTCTGTCTGTTGATCTTATTTTACTGACTGCCAAATGAATTTACTCTCCTGTGGGTTAAGTTGAAATACTTTAAATCGTTTTGCACTTTTCAGTGAGCACATTGAAAACATCACATTTCACGCAGATATCATGCTATGCTGATGGCAGATGGCTTTCCTTGAACAGATTTAAAAATACAACTCTTTGTTGTATCGGAATTTATCATAGTTTTGAACAGCTGAATTGAAACTAATCTAAAAGTTTAGACAGTTGCTTTACCAGTTTATGAACTCAAACGTTTAACATTCCTGAGCAAACGTTACGTTTGACAGTCGTAACATCGGTTTTCAAATTATCACGAGAATTCTCAAACCTAAAAACTGTCTCAGCATAAATCCATCAGATATAAGTTTTCTTAAGGTCGGTGTTTGCTATAAGAAATCTTGTGATTAAAAAACTTTGTCAAATTAAGTAAGTCAATCATTAATATATTTCATCTTTATAATCACTGATGTGTAGCATACAACGGAAAATGTGATAACCTTATTATATAAACTTGTCCAACTTGCAGATGAATTGCTTTCCTTCAATACATGTACAACTGTACGTACCTTCCTTGTCATAACGATATAGGCCTGAAACATCTGTTTGTTCCTCATACACTTCAATGGTTCAATGAAATTATTCTCCTGCAGAAGAGCAACATGCAAATGCCATTTTGTATTTTGAAATATTTTATTCAGCCCTCATGCTGATGGCTTTAACTTATACAGAAATATAAACTATAAACATCGATGGAACTCTTGAGTTCATTGAAGTTCGTTTAGGGTGGATTTGATTTCTTTGAATCTGCAAGAGCGATTTAAAATTCGTTTTTCACAAAAATCGCAATCCAAATCGAGCACCACACAACTTGTTACGGTTTTAAAAGCTTTTACTTTGTTAAACAAAAATAGAAATTCCAGCGGCATATGTCTGTTTGTAATATTTTCTTCCTTTGGAAAGAACAAAAATATAATTCATTTATTTCTATCCATCTTCGGATAAAATCTGACGCGCCGGTATAACCACTGTGGAAAAACAAAACACGTTAAGACAGACGGCACCTATAGGTTAATTGACATACGTTAAATTGCAAAGATCACATAACACTAGAACGGCATAACAAGAAGGGCTATGGGGGTCGCTTAACAATTTTCTTTAGCCTTTCAGATTTCAAATAGCTTATTTGCACCCAAATTCGGCAGTCGGTAACCTCTCCCTACTATGAGAATCCTAGTAACTCTCACGTGTCCTTGTATTCTAAATACCCGCGAGCTTGCGGTGAAACATTCACCAGACATCACATGATATGAACAGTGGCAGATTAGGGGTAGGAAAAATACATTATGAACTTTAATATTATATTCAAAATATCACAACGAGCTAAAAAAATCTATTTTAAGTTGCCCGCAGCATGGCAAGCCATGATTAGCTGCATAAAATCTGTTATCCGTTAGTTGGTAGTTTTGACTATTTCTTGTGAAAAATGCAGACCTTGCATTGAATTGGTCGGTGGTCTTTAAATGTAAAGAAAAAAGTTAGTTAAAGATAGCTAAATTATAAAAATATAACAAAAAATAAAAGAGAGTTGGATCATTTTCAAATGCTTGGTGAAGCTAAGAACAAAATATTTCTCTTTAAATGGACAACAGTGAGAGAAGATCTTGTCAAATGTTGCGTCAATCCTAATTTTTTTTTGCAAGTTAATGGGGTAAAATAGACTTGAAGGAATCTTTATCATTGATATAATACATGCATATAGACACAACATTATTATCGATACACTATTGAATTATATAGAGAGCTGATGAATATGCATTTCATGTGGGTTCCCATAGATAATTGGGTTTGTATACTGCTCTGAAGAAGAACAGAAACAAATTACAAGAAATAAGACATCGACACTATGGCACAAACTTGAAGCTTGCGAGTTTTTTTTCTCTGTTGGCTGATAAATTTCTATATCTTGAGAATATAGCTATGATTGAGCAAAGAAGAGTTATCTGCGTGTGATTTTTATTGGATCTAGCAAAATGCTAGTGGTAAAGCATACCTTTATACCTCGTGAACTGATTAAAAATTTACAATGTTATTCTTTGAGGTGTCACTTTTCTAGAGCAGCTATATAGATATGGAAAGAAAAATTTTTATGAGTTCAATATTTACCAAGAAATTAATGTACCAGCACTGGTTTGATTTTTTGCGTATTTTGTAAAACCCAGCAAATATTCAGGGAAAAAATTAAGTTTTCAAATTTCAATAGAAACGACAATATCAGACGAAAAGGACAAAATGAGATGTGTCCCCCAATAATTTTGGTTAGTCGGCAAATGTTTGCAAATTTGTAAAACAAAATCGGCAGGAAGATATAAATGATTAAAAACTTTATACTAACTACTCACATTGGGAAGTCAAATACACAAATTTAAACTTTGCCTAGATGTCTGATTTAGCTATTGTATTTTTATTGGCAAATCCAAAGAATTATTTTTAAACATGACATTGTAAACTTGTAACCATAAACATTTTGATCAGAAGTGGGTTATTTTGATTTTGAACTGGCTGACGACCGTAACATAATTGCTCCATATTTGGATTCAACAGGATGTAATTTTTGTGTAAGAAATCCAGAAAATTGTTTGCTATCTGACTGACTTGCGAGTTTTCCTTTCATATTATAAATTTTGTACCTTTTCCTTCCGTTAATCTTTCACTGAAGTCTCGTTCCAATATTATCTGGCAACTTTTACTGTGGTTTGTCGTCTTCACGGTTACGAGGATTTGCATAATAGACTTGATAAATGATAAGCCTTTTATTTAGGACACTTGTTTATGCAAGTTGAGCAATGAAATAAAATGAAATGTGTTTTTTGATGTTCATGTCTTTCCAATTTGACATTCAACACCCCCACACACTCATTGTGATCACTTTGCAACGGCCCTGGAAGGAGTCACATGAACAAAATTAAGTTTTAAAAATTAAGTTTTAACCAACCCTTCACAAAGCTCTTGTGATTGTTAACCATTTGCGATATAGACAGAGGCCTAGTCCTCTCTTTTGACTCCGCTTAGTGTTTGTTGAAAAGAGAATTTCAATAATTAGTACTCTGTTTACCAGGCGACAAAAAATCTTAAATTGGTTCAATTCCTAAGTATTCACATTGTTTTATATTTTTTAAGTGAACACGCTAAAAACAACATACTTAGCATAGCTATCATGCTGATTGGCAAATACAAATTCTTTATTGAGGGCAAACTGTGGATTTTTTAATTCAGGTAAAATAAGCTAAAAATTGTTTAAAGTTTTTTCTTAGAAGCATTTCACTTATGAAAAGAGAAAAAATACAATTTGTAGAAATTAAAAAAAACTTTTGTACCTTATACTTAAGCAGTTACTTACCTGTAAGTTGGACTTTGACAGGAATTCTAAGACAATCAGTTAGGAAGCTAGGAGCCATGTAGGTAGCGCATGCAAGCTTTGCTGATCACGTGACATGTGTAGGACACTCAGCCTACCCAGCGTTTTGGATAAGGTTCTGAGCTCGATTAATTCTGCCTTTTGAGGTAGTTTTTAACAGCTTGATGCACGAACGAACTTCAAACAAGACTTGTTGCGAGAGGGACGAGGCAAACTTAAGCATTAATCGAGCCAACACGTTTTTTGAAGGTGATGACTTTGACTTCAAACATTTGAAATTTATACTAATTTAGAATTTCAATAATTAGTACTCTGTTTATTCATCATTAAGAAAAAGCAACGTTTGTGAAAATATTGGCAGAAATATCAAACTACTTAATCAAACATGCAAAAAACTCATGCAAGTGTTTCTCTTTGTCTCAGTCTAGTCAATTTTTTTTTCTTATATGAGTTATTCGGTTTTCTATGACTGAATGTGAAATTTATTTCTCCGGAGGTTTTTGGTAAAACATTCTGTTTTAGTTATATTTCGGCACAACGTAACAGTCTTGTACTTCATGTTAAAAAAGTCTGGTCTACAATGCACTTCACAAACCAACACGACAGCTATTTACCATTCTTTATAACAAAACGATCAATATTCCTCCCATAATGTTCAATATCATAGCACAGAAACCGACGTTCAAAATCATAACCAAGCGACAAAAGCACTGAATTGAAAGTTGATACCACCATGTAAAATTCTTACTCAAAACAGCGTCATACATAATACATTTGCCTATATTACTTATATATTACTGCAAAAGTAGATGAAAGACGCATGTCAACAATATAACTTACTACATTACTAAAAAACAACATAAGGTGGGTTTTTATTACTTCTAAGACTGAAACGCATTAAATAGAAGATGGATGACTTGAAGAATTAAATTTATGTAAATAACAGCTTTCTGTGGCGTATGGCTTACATGAAAAAAGCCGATTGGATCATAAAACTAATGATAATGATTGACCAAAACTTACTTAAAAAGGTGATTTGCAATACAGGTGTTGTAAAAGAGGTGACATTTATAGAAAGGAGTGAATTGCTAAAACTTCAATGGCTAATCATTATATGCTACGCTCATGAATTTCAGCTATGTGCATGTATCTTTAATACAAGCACAGAAGTTCAACTGCTCTTGGGAGTTTAACATAGTTTCTAACAGCGAAATTTGTGCAATATGCACCCATGGGATTAACATTGTGATTAGGCATTGAAATAGAGACAAAACTTGAAATAAAACGAACTACTTGTTTCTCAATGTTCGAAAACAAGTAAAGTTTTGTCTCTTGCGTATTCGTAGTGGTAGCAACTATTTCTTTTTTAACTTCTATACATTAGTTCCCTTTGGATTGAAACGTCACCTGGAGAAGCATGTTGAAGAGCAGTTGGAACTTGAAACTGAATTTACCAGAGTAGAAATTTGCTTTTTGTTACATCTAACAAAATAGCTTCAAAGACCAGTCCATGACATTATTTCTTTTGATCAAAATGCCCAGTTTCGAAGATAGTTATTGCACATGTCAGCCTCCTTTCCACAATGATTTAAGAATCTCCTAATTCCTTCGGTTTCGATGTACCCTGCCTTGTACATTGTTTGTAAATATTTAAACTTCACGTGTTTTATCCAATTGCTTGTGAACCATAACATGTCTCCAGTTTCAAAGCCTGGCTCACATATATACATTCTTATGATTTGAAGACAGTTTGAGTAGCACACGTAATTGAAAATTGACACCCTTGAGGTTTAGAACACGTTCTACGATGGTTAGAGCATGATCACCCATTGTAAGTTGATGTCATCGTGATGAATGAAACTCAGAATAATTACTCACGAAATATGAAAGAAAAACCAAAGGTATGGATTTTTATGGTTTATATAGTTATTTATACTTTCAATTTTATATATTTCCCCTTTTATTGAATTAAACTAAAGATAATAGTATCAATTGCCCGAGTACTTAAAGGGTAAAATATTCTTTTTCTAAATTTTTTGCAAATTTTCATTTTCAGGAGGATTTGACGCCATTTTTGGATTCACCAATGCCAGGCACAGTGATCTCAGTTACATGTGAACCAGGACAAGAGGCAGTTTTAAATATTGAAATCAATTGTAGTGCAATTACTTGGTGAGGATACTCTAAGAACTTCACTTTCTCAGGTAGCTGAAGGTCAAGAGGTTTGTGTTGTTGAAGCTATGAAAATGCAAAATAGTTTATGCGTTCAGAAATCTGGCCGAATTAAAAAAGTGAACTGTAAACCAGGAGATAAAATATTGGAAGGTGATCGACTTATTGAGCTCGAGTAACACTGACTTTTAAAGAAACTTTGCTAAACTGGAGTGATCCATAAACACAAGAAAAAAATAACACTTTTCTGTTCAGACAATATTTGAAGTGAAGAAATTTAAGCAACAATGATTTTCTTTTATCATGTGAATAATTAAAAATGCAACAATGAAGGAAAATATGATATGACTAACCGATGCAGTGGAGTACTGTATTTACGCACGATAATTATGTACGTGTATAAATGATTATGATTTTCATATTGTTAATTTGTTTGTGTGAATTGTGAATATTTAGTTTCAAATGCTAAAGTTAAACAGTGCATGATTGTGAATGAATATTAATTCATGTATAAATCATAAACTATACAACGCCAATGTTTTCAATAACTTTAATAGGATAGTTTCCTTCTTCATCCCTTTCCAACCCAAATTCTATTTCATCATTTTTGATGCTAACCCAAGGCATGAGGTCATTTTTAAATGCCTTGCCAATATTTCCATGTCTGTCAATGGCAATTCCTCCTACGAGTCCTTCTTGTCTTTCTTGAACTAAATTCACAGCACTCTGTACAGCTTCCTTTAGTGAAAAAATAATCAAACAAAGTTTAAAAAAAAAGAAGATTTGAAAATTGGTTGAATCTGGATTGTTGAAAATCTAATATTATGAATTGAGAAAGATATTGCTCAAGACTTAAATAATTTTTTTTGCATGTTAAAACAGATGGATTGTCGGAGAGAAGAAATAAGTTTTTAATTTAAAGTTTGGAGTAAGATTGGTTAAAGTGTAATCTAAACTAAATGGTCCGTGTCGAACATTTTGTAGGCAATTTAGCTACGACAAACTAAAACCTGTTTAGAAGTTAAACAGATCACAAACTAAAGCCTGATTAGAGGTTAAAAAGCTTTGAAATTTAATGAGGCTTTGCAGGGTAAAGTAACTGTATTTGTGTGAAAAAACAATAGCAATTGTGTATTCTAAAGAAAACTGGCGGAATCACAGCATCAAATCATTTGCACTTCTCAATTAATAAAAATGGAATGGACTTGTACAGTTCCGAGAGAAACTCGCACTATTTTTCTCCACATCATTAGTTTCATGAACTTAGCAAAAAGCGAGGATAAATCGTATATAAAGGAGTCAATAATGCGTACAATACTACACAAGAAAACATAGAAAAATAAAATGAGTGATATTTTGCATTACCTGGACACTTATTTCATTTTCTATTCCAATTACAATTTGTTTAGCGAAGTTCAATTTTATCAATTTCTCTCCATGACCAGTTCCTGTAGCTGCTCCTTTATCATTTGCATATCCACCACAACCAACTAATGGAGTGTCACTAACACGACCTTTAAGTTTGCCAGCAATACCTCCTAAAATAATGATTGATTATGAATATGATGACATGCAGATGACGATGTAGAACTGAATTATGTTTGATTTTTTGGCTATAAATATAACCTGTATATTTAGTCATTACCTGTTGACGTGGCACATGCCAACTTGCCATGTCTATCAATTGCAACAGCACATGCAGTATCGCAAGTGAAAGCCTCTTCAGGAGAAATATCAAGGGCGATATCAGGAAAAGGACCTCCGTTGCAAAAAAATTTAACATATGCCTCGAAACATTCAGGAGGAAGACGTTTTTGTTTATTTATCAATTCATTTGGCGAGCAACAAGGAAAACCTTTACTCAAAGCAAAATGCAAAGCACCTTCACCACTGAGAGCACAGTGTGGCGTTTCTTTCATAATTTTTCGAGAAAGGCAAACTGGATTTTTGAAATATCGACCAGAAATTACTGCACCTACAATAAACACAAATTTTATCACAAATATTTCTTATTTAATGACTGACTCTGAAGAAAATACTATCGTAAAGTGTTGATTGTATAAAATTCAAATATAGCATGTGTCTTGTTTGCAGCATTACAACACAGCTAGTAACATGAAATACATAGTGTTTTTAGTTTTGTGGCAAAATCCAAAGTTAAAGCGTCTTCCTATAGATTCAAACCTGTTTTTAAGGTGTCCCCGTCCATAATCATTGCATCACATTCAACTTCTCCTTCACTGTTCAATGGAGATCCACGACCTATCATGAATAAGTCACTGCTCTCTAAAATACTAACTGCCTTTTCAACAGCATCAACAGCAGTGCCATCATTCTGAGGTGATAAAAATAATCATAATGTTAAATGCAGTTAATAAAAATTATGACAAAATTTTTCAAACGAGTTACTTACCGTTAAGACTGCATATCCCTCTCTGGCTGATTCTTTCAGTTTTTCAAGGTATTCATTACTGATATGTTCTCTAAGATGGTTGCTATAGACTCCTCCCATAACAATAATTGCAGGGGCTCCATCGAAATCTTAAAAAATTACCCATTATTAAATTTGATGCGTCACTTTAAAGCTGAGCGATTTATAAAATTGTATGGATGATGTTGCTTGCTGATGACATAGATGAATATGCAAAAAGTAAATTTTGTCCTGATTCATGCATATCCCATAGTAAAGTTTTTCCTTTTTGTCTTAGTTTAGGAGAAATAAAAGTTGAATTGTCCCGTGCGCACTTTTTTCTTACCACATTTGAGAAAATTGATAATTGATACTACGAGAACTTATCAAAATTTTACTCTGTATTTGGGTTGACTAAAATTATTTTATGTTATGTGATTATTTCTTGATGAGAGCAGCAAAAAATAATCCCTCACCCACAGACACCTCTTTTTGCATTTCACACTTAGCGACTTTAAAATTCGAAATGATAACTGTGCGTTAAGTTTTCTCCAGAGAACTAATTTCGCATATTTCACACAATTTTGATATTTTCTTATACTCAATGTGTTTCACTGTTTGTAAAAATTCTTTCGATTTATAAACTCCTTAATATTCTTGGCTATCTAAGTATCATTAAATATAGGTAGCTTACATGCGTAGAATTTTTATATTGCAATAGATTATTGGCACCTAACTATAACACGAGAGGTTCTAAACATTTTTTCGTAACATCCGCAAGGCCGTCATGTAATTTTTCAGCACTGTTTATTTAGTGAAATCATTTTTGGCACAGATTAATTAGAGAGTCAAGCTTCTTATATATTTGCAATCGACATGATCTTGTACTTTCACAAATGCAGTGTTAGATTTAAATTGCTTTATCAATTGATAAGAACTAAAAAATACACATTGGAATTTGTAAGTCTTGCTAATCTTTACACGTCATATTATACAGAGACATTATATTTTCAGTGTATTTTCATAGTTATGTGTCGGGACTGACGGACATACCGTAGTAAATATGATTGACATTTATTGGGAGGGACTTAGAAGTGTTTTTTTTTTTATGATAGTGAAATAGTGATGTACCATTACGATTATTCATTAGTATCTGTACTGTGATTAGAATAAGAGCAAACGTTCGTGCACAGTGACTGTATTCAAAACGGCAACTTGGGATTGCATGAGTACAATATATTTAGTTGAATAAACGTATATCTGTGAGTTGTCGAGGACTACGATCTAAAAGGGGGAGGTAAATTCTCGACACATGCAACATCGTTCTAAAAAAATAAAGCATTAACATACCTAAAAAAACTGTATGGTCTGAAATCTGATGTATTTATTGCTCACATCTGTCCTTTAAATAGTTCAAGATTATAATCAATACCTTAATAACAATAAGGTCGTTAGTACTTACTCATTTTTTTTTAAAATATCGAACCAACGTTTTTCTTGTTTTTTTTTTGCTCGTGCTTTCTTCAGAAAAGTTCAGAGACAAGACCAACTATGTAAAAGAGAAAATATTGTACGCAAAAATTATATTACTTTACAAATTTACTCCCAAACGGTCTTTGAAAAAGAAAATTTATATTTTTTCTTAGAGCTTTATAATTAAATAAAAAATATAATATATGACAATTTTCTTAAATTTCAACTATCTATCGTCTTATAATTAAGCATTCAGAGACATGTAATCACGATTGACGCCATTTTAAATTTTAGGGCCTGTTCATATGAGCCGGGCTAGCCCGGTAGTAGCGATTAGAAACTGAAAATCTTTAAAGAATTGTGTCTTCTTTAGAAATTTGAATATTTTGCATTTTAAACATCCCTTAATTAATATAAAAACGCGTTTGAAATCTGTTAGAATTAATCAGAGTATTTGTAAAATCAATATGAATCCATGATCAACGTAGCTTAGAGACAAATGCGTTAGGCATTCAAAGATAATATATATTTAACAATCTGTAACGGCGTCCAATGTCTAAAATTAGTTTCTATAAAACGATTCTTGCGATTATTTGCCATTCACAATGATTACTGACTTGCTACGCATGCGCAGACATGTCATGTGACACTGTTATCGATAGGTCTCGCCCTCTCGTTTACTATCAAAAATTTCTGACAACATCAAAGGCAAATCTTGTCAAACAAAGAGCAAAATTACAAATATTTTACGAAAGACTATTTATTCGTGAGACAAAAAAAATCAGCACCCCTTTGCACCTCAGTGTTCTACCCTGAAACTAATTAAAGTTTCTAAGATTAAACTACCGAAATTCTTCCAGTAGACGGACTGCAATGATTCTGACTACAGTAATCACTGACCAAGATAAAATTTTGCCAAACAAGAGTGTAATTTCTGGAATGAAGCGATTATATCAGTTTCTTATTTTGATATATATTAACCGAAATCAGTTGGCAAAGAAGAATTGACGCTGCTATCCGAAACTCTTGCTTAAAAGACTTTCGAAAGTTTTCTTCAGCAGATATTTTTGTAACAAATCATAGTCAAGTCAACAGTTATACTATATTTTAATTTTACAATAATTAATGTGTTGTATAATTGTTTAGGAGCCTGTGATAAACGTTAATATATAATATAAACTGGTTTGAAGTGTAATTGGTTGGTTTCCCGATTGTACGACTGTACGTACCTTTCTTGATTTCCGTATTGTACTGACTGAAAGGAAATGTACGTTTCTTTCTTGTTTGAACGAGATGGAAAAGGAGCTTCTGTTCTGTCTGTTGATCTTATTTTACTGACTGCCAAATGAATTTACTCTCCTGTGGGTTGAGTTGAAATACTTTAAATCGTTTTGCACTTTTCAGTGAGCACATTGAAAACAACACATTTCACACAGTTATCATGCTATGCTGATCGCAGACGGCTTTCTCTTGAACAGAATTAAATATACAACTCTTTGTTTTATCGGAATTTATCATTGTTTTGAAATGTTGAATTGAAACTAATTTAAAAGTTTAGACAGTTGCTTTACCAGTCTATGACCATGAAATCAGTAATTAAGTAAATTTATAAAAGATTAAATTAAGACGGAATCAAATTGAATGTTGTATTTTATTTGATTATTTTACAATTTTATACGAAATGTTGATTAAACATACAATTTTACCGCCCATTGTGGACAACGTTAAAATTAAAGAAAACAAAATCAATTTTATTTAATTTTATTTATCAACGGCGTCGTAGTTTTCCCGAAAAACAATCCTAAGCAAATTCATCACAAATGTAATAAAAATGATGAAAAAACTGCAGGACATTTGACTTCTTCAGTTAATTTTATCGTCGAAACATGAAGTTCAAACTCAATTAATATCTAAGCAAATTTATTCCATTTCTGTTGGCAAGAAAAAACATACAACGGGAGAAAAGGAATCTAGTTCTTTCGTAAGAGGGATTGCGTTTCATACAATTAAGAAAGAAATGATGGGAAAAACATTTTGTCACCATGAAAAATTCACATGTGTTATTTTTAAAATTGTAAATTAAATGATTGTTTGAAACGTTGGAATTGCGTCTACACTTGAGCAACAAATTTCAATCACTATGTAATCTACCATTTAATACTCGTATAATATAAAGATGTTACATGGTTGGTTCTTTTACACAATTCTTATTGTGCACTCGTTGAGAAGGATTGAAAATGATTTCCTTCGCAAAGCTCGCGCGCTAGTTTGCAACCTTCTGAAACAAGACGTCAATTTCATAAAACTAGAAGTAAGAAATTACTCTACGAATCAGTCTGAAACGAAGCAATCATTTGCACAAAATTAAGTTTTAAAAATTAAGTTTTAACCTACACTACACAATGTTCTTGTGATAGGTAACCATTTGTGATACAAACAGTGCGCAGTCCTCTCAAGTGGTCAGTAGAATTGCAATCAAAACTTTACACAGACATACACATTTATCAGGCATCAAAAAAATATTTAAATTGATAGAAGGAAAAGTTTCTTCTATGAGATCGATTATTTCAGTCTTTTTGTAAAATTCAGCTTGCAGTTTACGACTTTATTGACCCGAATAAAATTTTGCCCGACAGGAATCGTATTTTTGGAATGGAGCAATTATAAAAATTTCTTATTCTGCAAAAAATGAATTAAGAAAAATGCAGATGAAAAAATGAACGTTGTTCTTCGAATCTCCAAAAAGAAAATTATCGTAAAGATATTTGGTTGAATCAAATTATTTAAGTTAATAATTATTGTATTGCATCCTTACTGATATACATGTAGTATACAAAGAAATTCGTCAAAAATTTGTTTTATAAACTTGTTCAACTTGTGTATAATTGATCAGTAAGTGTGACGGACTTTACGTACCTTCCTCGGTGGAGCAAGAATAAGGATGTTGTGTGTGTTGCTGTCAATTCACTTGCTGTCTAATAAAATTACTCTCCTGCAGCTAGAGTTAACATATATTCATATTGCTCACTGAACCCACTTAAAAACTACATATTTAACATAGCTATCATGGTTTTACTTTCATACAATAACATACTTTTTATTGAGTGCGAATGATGCCTTTTTGGATTTACTCAAAATAAGAGGAAATTTCAAAATAAGAGTTGATTATTTTTCTTATAGTATAGTTCTGAGACAAATACGGCTAACCTGACGTTTACTCCTCATTTGACTCTGAAAATGACTACCGCTAAAGTTATCGACAACAACACAACAAAAACAGTCCTTCTCAGGACTATACTGACCTGGACGATATACATCTACAAACATGTAACGATACTCCCGGGTTCAAACCATTTACTTTATCAAAATTATCTTCTGTCGAAACTCTATCATACGATGTCAAATTTAAGAAAAAGCAACCAACAACTATTGGTTCCTGAATGTTACCTCAAAAAATACCTAACTAACGTAAGCCTTTATTTTATTCCAAAATATTAGAGATATGAGAATTTATTTAAGAACAGCAACGCTAATAATTCTTTTGTAACACCAACAAAATCCACACGGTTGACTCCTTCAAAATGTTTATTTAAAAAGAAAATACTTATTTATAGGAGGCGAAAATTTGGTTTTACTCTGAGATAAGATGGAGTGATTTGACAAATTCGATGTTAGTTGACGACCAAGCATGAAGCAACTATGACCAAGTATGAAGCAATTGCATAATGAGAACTTAAACAACTGAAATTCAACTTATTCAAGAACTAGCGGCATGCTTCCCAAAAGTTTTTGTATTCTATATACGATATCGACGAGTTTTATTACACTAATGACGCAAGATAAAATTTTGCATGACAAGAATGGAATTTTTGGAATGGAACAGCAATATGTAACTTTCTTAATTCTTAAATAATGTCATAAATTAGTTAGATGTTCAGTTGCAGAAAAAAGTTGATGTCAATCCTGAAAATTTAGAAGCCTCTTTAACAGATATTTAATTTTGTCAAATAAAGCAAGTCAATAATTAATATATTTCATCTTTATAATCGTTGATGTGTGGCATACAACGGAAAATGTGATAACCTTATTACATAAACTTGTTCAACTAGCAGATGAATTGTTTTCCTTCAATATATGTACACCTGTACGTACCTTCCTTGTTATAACGATATAGACCTGAAACATCTGTTTGTTCCTCATACACTTCAATCGTTCAATGAAATTATTCTTCTGCAGGAGAGCAACATGCAAATACCATTTTATATTTTGAAATATTTTATTCAGCCCTCATGCTGATCGCTTTAACTTATATAGAAATATAAACTATAAACATCGATGGAACTTTTGAGTTCATTGAAGTTCGTTTAGGGTGGATTTGATTTCTTTGAATCTCCAAGAACGATTTAAAATTCGTTTTTCACAAAGATCGCAATCCAAATCGAGTACCTCACAACTTGTTACGGTTTTAAAAACTTTTACTTTGTTAAACAAAAATAGAAATTCCAGCGGTATATGTCTGTTTTTAATATTTTTTTCCTTTGGAGAGAACAAAAATATAATTCATTTATTTCTATCCATCTTCGGATAAAATCTGACGCACCGGTATAACCACTGTGGAAAAACAAAACACGTTAAGACAGACGGTACCTATAGGTTAATTGACATACGTTAAATTGCAAAGATCATATCACACTGGAAACGCATAACAAGGAGGGCTATGGGGGTCGCCTAACAATTTTCTTTTGCCTTTCAGGTTTCAAATAACTTATTTGCACCCAACTTCGGCGGTCGGTAACCTCTCTCTACTATGAGAATCTTAGTAACTCTTACGTGTCCTTGTATTCTAAATACCCGCGAGCTTACGGTCAAACATTCACCAGACATCACATGATATGAACAGTAGCAGATTAGGGGAAGGAAAAATATATTATGAACTTTAATATTATATTCAAAATATCACCACGAGCTAAAAAAAACTTTTTTAAATTGCCCACAGTATGGCAAGCCATTATTAGCGGCATAAAATCTGTTATCCGTTAGTTTGTAGTTTTGACTATTTCATGTGAAAAATGCAGACCTTGCATTGAATTGGTCGGTGGTCTTTGAATGTAAATAAAAAAGTTAGTTAAAGTTAGCTATATCATAAAAATATAACGGAAAATAAAAGAGAGTTGGATCATTTTCAAATGCTTGGTAAAGCTAGGAACAAAATATTTCTTTTTAAATGGACAACAGCGTGGGAAGATCTTGTCAAATGTTGCGTCAATCCTAATTTTTTTTGCAAGTTTATGGGGTAAAATAGACTTGAAGGAATCTTTATCATTGATATAATACATGCATATAGACACAACATTATTATCGATACACTATTGAATTATACAGAGAGCTGATGAATATGCATTTCATGTGGGCTTCCCGTAGATAATTCTGATGGTTTGTATGTACCTATTGGCTGACTATTAAAATAATTTTACAAATTTTACTGCTCTGAAGAAGAACAGAAATTACAAGAAATAAGAAATCGACACTATGGCACAAACTTGAAGCTTGCGAGTTTTTTTTCTCTGTTGGCAGATAAATAGCTATATCTTGAGAACATAGCTATAATTGAGCCAAGAAGAGTTATCTGCGTGTGTTTTTTATTGGATCTAGCAAAATGCTAGTGGTAAAGCATACCTTTATATCTCATGAACTGAATAAAAATTTACAATGGTATTCTTTGAAGTGTCACTTTTCTAGAGCAGCTATATAGATATGGAAAGAAAAATTTTTATGACTTCAATATTTACGAAGAAATTAATGTACCAGCACTGGTTTGATTTTTGCCTATTTTGTAAAACCCAGCAAATATTCAGGGAAAAAATTAAGTTTTGACATTATAATAGAAAGAACAATATGAGACGAATAGGACAAATTGAGATGTGTCCCCCCCCCCAAAAAGAAATTTTGGTTAGTCGGCAAATGTTGGCAAATTTGTAAAACAAAATCGGCAGGAAGATATAAATAATTAAAAAGTTTTCTACTTACTACCCCCATTGGGAAGTCAAATACACAAATTTAAACTTTGCCTATTGGTCTGAGTAAGCTATTGTATTTTTATTGGCAAATCCAAAGAATTATTTTTAAACATTACATTGTATATTTGTAACCTAAACATTTTGATCAAAAGTGGGTTATTTTGATTTTGAACTGGCTGTCGACCGTAAAATAATTGCTCCCAATTTGGATTCAACAGGATGTATGATGACGATGTTGCCACTCGGCAATTTGACATTCAACACCCCCACACATCTCATTGTGATCACTTTGCAACGGCCCTGGAAGGAGTTACATGAACAAAATTAAGTTTTAAAAATTAAGTTTCAACCAACCCTCCACAAAGCTCTTGTGATAGTTAACCATTTTCGATATAGACAGAGGCCTAGGTCTTTTGTGGGACTCCGCTTAGTGTTCGTGGTAAATAGAATTTCAATAATTAGTACTCTGTTTATTCATCATAAGGAAAAAATAACGTTTGTGAAAATATTGGCAGAAATATCAAACTACTGAATCAAACATGCACAAAACTCATGCAAGTGTTTCTATTTGTCTCAGTCTAGTCAAGTTTTTTTTTATATGACTTATTCGGTTTTGTATGACTGAATGTGAAAGTTATTTCTCTGGTGGTTTTTGGTAAAAAATTCTGTTTTAGTTATATTTCGGCACAAGCCACGAGTCTTGTAATTCATATTAAAAAGTCTGGTCTACAGTGCACTTCACAAACCAACACGACAGCTATTTACCATTCTTTAAAACAAAACGATCAATATTCATCCCATAATGTTCAATATCATAGCACATAAACCGACGTTCAAAATCATAACCAAACGACGAAAGCACTGCATTAAAAGTTGATACCACCATGTAAAGTTCTTACTCAAAACAGCGTCATACATAATACATTTGGCTATATTACTTATATATTACTGCATAAGTGGATGAAAGAAGCATGTCAATAATATAACCTTACTATAATACTAAAAAACAACATAAGGTGGGTTTTTATTACTTCTAAGACTGAAATCCATTCCATAGAAGATGGATGACTTGAAGAATTATTTTATGTAAATACGAACTTGCTGTGACGTGTGGCTTACATCAAAAAAGCCGATTGGATCATAAAACTAATGATAATGATTGACAAAATTTTACTTTAAAAGGTGATTTGCAATACAGGTGTTGTAAAAGAGGTGACATTTATGGAAACGAGTTAATTACTAAAACTTCAATGGCTAATCATTATATGCTACGCTCATGAATGTCAGCTATGTGCATGTATCTTTAATACAAGCACAGAAGTTCAACTGCTCTTGCTAATTGAAAATTGACACCCTTGAGGCTTAGGACATGTTCTACGATGTTTAGAGCATGATCACTTGTGTCCTATTGGAGTCCCTCGTGAGATAAACACTCAAACTTCTATCAAATGCTTAGGAATCTAAATCACATAGAACACACGCAATCATGCTCTAAGCCTTATTTAATAACAAATTTCCATAGTGGTATTAGAAACTTCATCAAAATCATGTCACGATGACGTCAACTGTGTTGTACAATGAATGGGTGTCGTTGTAAGATTACACGTGATATGTCACGTGTAAGCCTTTCATAAAAACTTGGTAGAACTGGAGCGATAAACAAAAGGAAAAATGAAACACAGTACTGGGCGGGGGTAGGGTGTAAACAAAGGCAGTCGGGCATTTTTTGCTGGAAAATTAGGTCATTTAAAATTAAAAATGTTCCAACAACCCCCACCCCCTAAAAATATTTGGTCCGTACGCCCAAGGAAACACTTCATGTGATACAAATTATTTAACAGCTAAAACCAAGTTTTCTGTTTCAACACGACATTTTTAGCATTTTACTAAATTGTAAGAATGATATGTAAACAATAAAATGTCATTTTTTTTATGCGAATATATTTAAGTTGTAAATTGTGAATATTTAGTTTCGAATATTAATTAAATTTAAACAATGCATGATTGTGAATGAATATTGAAGAACTGTAGTACAAAATCATAAATTAGTTGTTGCCATTGTTTTCAATAACTTCAAAAGGATAGTTTCCTTCTTCATCCTTTTCCAACCCAAATTTCATTTCATCATTTTTGATGCTAACCCAAGGCATGAGGTCATTTTTAAATGCCTTTCCAATATTTCCATGTCTGTCAATGGCAATTCCTCCTGCGCGTCCGTCAAGTCTTTCTTGAACTAAATTCACAGCACTCTGTACAGCTTCCTTTTATGAAAAAAATAAGCAAAAGTTAAAACAAAAAAGGGAATATGGGTATCGGTTAAAACTGTATTGTTGAAATTTAATTTTATAAATTTCTTATTGGACGGTGTTTTATCACGATATCAAAAAAAACAGCAGTTGACCAGTCTTTGAACACTGTGGTAGAAATGTTAGGAATCGACAAAGATATTTTTAAGACTTAAAATGTTAAAAAAAGAGGAATTGTTTGTTAAAGGAATTTCGTTGAGATTTGAGAAGCGACAAAACAGTTGGGAAAATAAGTTTTTAATTTAGAGTAGAGCTTGAGATTGCATGTTCAGTGCAATCAAATGTTCTGCCGTGTACACGTATTAATCGACAGCAACATTTTCTTAAACAAAAACATGATTGAGTATGGGCTTGATATTCTTTTATCTATAAGTTGATTTCTTGTAGATTAAGAGTTTGAGGCATGCTCTTTACAACAAAACAAAGTCTATTTGCACGGTGGTGAGAAAAATCAGTAAACTTTCGAATGCAAAGCGACTTGAATTTTTGTCAAGAAAAGTGTTGAAAAAAAACTTGACTAAATCATATAATTAAATAAGTTGAACGTATCAGTTGATAAAATTGAATGGACTTGATAAATCACACAATCTTTGTCCACGTCATAAGTTTCATAACCTTACACAAAAAATTCAATAATATATAAAATACAATACAGCGAAACAATGAAAACAATTTTTAATATTTTGCATTACTTGGGCACTTCCTGCTTCCATTTCAATTACAACTTGTCTTGTAAAGTTCAATCTTATCAATTTCTCTCCAGGACCAGTTGCTGCAGCTGCTCCTTTATCATTTGCATATCCACCACAACCAACTAATGCAGTGTCACTAACACGACCTTTAAGTTTGCCGGCAATACCTCCTAAAATAATGATTAATTATGAATATGATGACATGCAGATAACAATGTAGAACTGAATTCATGTAT